ACGTGCCCCAGAAGGCAGGGTTTTTTTCAGCGAGGCCTCCCAGCGGGCCACCAGCGGCTGCCGCAACCTGCTCCAGACCCTCAGCCAGATGGCCGTGAGGCCGATTGGCCGCTGGCCGCCAGTAGCCTTGGGGATGAACACCACGATCAGCTGCCACAGCGCCTCCCGCGAAGGCTTCCGCTCCCAGGCCATGAGGAGCTCCAGGAAGCGCTGCCTGTAGGTCCGCGGGAGGCGCAGCAGCTGCTTCGGATGGAGCCTATCCCACCCAAGGCCACACCCCTCGCGGTAGGTGCCCAGGACGCGCTCGAGGTCCTCGAGCTCCAGCGGCGGCAGCACCGACTCCTGAATGTCCCAGTTCTCAGGCGTTGCCTCGCCAGCACGCGACGGCTTGATCCAGAGCGGCTGCCACGCCTCCAGCAGCGCCGCCACTGCAGCCTCACCCGCGACGGGCATGCGCAGGTCGTCGCTGCCGTCCACGCCCGCGAGCACCTCCGTGGGCACCACCGCGACCTGCTTGATGAAGCGGTAGGCCGCCGAGCCGCCCTTCTCGGTGGCCGCGGCCTGGGCCCAGGCGCGCCACTCCGCAGCCTTCCGCTGCTTGTCCAGCCTCCTCCTGGACGAACTGCACCGTCAGCTGGCACGAGGAGGAGCTGAGCAAGCTCATCACGCGGGCCACCGACAGCCCTGCCAGCGGGCCTTCCTCTGGCCACTCGAGCTCGAACGCCATCAGCACCTCCCGCTGCTTGCGCAGCGGCGCCCAGCAGCGCCCTCCTGGCGCCGCCCCCTGCAGCGCGCGCCAGCGGGCGCATGCCGCCGCGAACGACATCCAGCGCCTGCAGGCAGCGCCGACGCTCCTCTTGCAGTCCTGCTTCCAGGCTACCTCCATCACGACCTTCTGCGTGCGTAGCCCGCCCGCGCGCCCCTTCCAGCGACTGGGCGGCGCGATCTCGTAGAGGTCGATCAGGTAGGCCTCGACCGCCTCGAACCACTCCTGGCAGCCCTCCTCGAGCGACTGCCTTCCCTCAGGCCTGCAGGCCGAGAAGGCGCGCTCAAGCGGCGCTGGCCGCACTGGCGGCGGCAGCGGCAGCGGGAAGGCGGCAGGGAAGAGCGGCCGCTGCACCTTCGCCTCTGGCCCTACGCCGCGGAGCACCACCTTGAACGGCACGTGGTCCTTCGTCGGCGCCCTCAGCAGCACGTCCACAAAGCCCGTGAGGGCCCTGCTGACCACCGCGAAGTCGAAGACCTTCGAGCCGCAGGTCGGCTCCTCTGGGCCCACGAGCGCACCGCCTGCGCTGCGCGCCCACTCGCGGACGCCCGCGGGCTCCATGTTCCAGTCGCCCATCACGACCCACGGCGACTCCAGCTGCCCCGCGAACTCGTGCAGCGCTGCCAAGAGCCCGATGTTCTCCTTCGCCCTGCCTATCTTCGTGATGAAGTACGCCGAGATGACACGGCACGGCTCCCTGAACCCCAGGTTCACCTCACACACCTGGAACCGATGGGCAGGGAGCCCTGGCGCGGCGGCGGCCGACGACGGCCGCCGCGTGGCCACGGCCACTCCGCCCGAGCTCTCCGGCGGCCCTGTGCCCGTCGGCATCGCTGCCTGGCCATGCCACCTGAAGCCGCGCGCCTGCATCCAGCCCGCCGCGCGGGCCATCGCCTGCTTGCCCTTGAGGCGATGCTCTTGGAGGCAGAGCACCGCAGGCAGCCGCCCCGCGTCGTCGTGCAGCCACTCGACCAGCGCCTGCGCCGAGCCCCACGCGGTGGTGTTGGCCGATACCAGCTCCACCACGTCCGCCGCCCGCGGGCGGCTACCCAGAAGCGGGGCCTGCCACCCGCTGGCGCTTGGCCAGCGCTGCGCGCCAGGCTGCGCGCTGCTGCTCGTCCTCCATGCCCACCTCGTCGAACGCGGCGTCAAGCCCGACGAGCTCGGGGCCGAGGTCGAGGTCGCCGACGCGCTTGCGGTCCCCAGGAGAACCATCAGCGCCGTCATCACAGCCATCAGCCGCGGGGGCGGCCTCCTGCGCCGCGGCGGCCCGCTCGGCCGCAGCTGCAGCTGCGCGGGCCCGCTCGGCCGCCGCTGCCTCTCGAGCACGGGCGTCGGCGGCGGCGAGCTTCTCAACGAGGCTGCGGGCCTCGGCGGCCATCGCGAGCAGGGCGCCGCCCTCCCCCCCAAGCAAGAGGACCCGCTCCCGCTCCGCCTCGAGGCCCTCGAGGCCCTTGAGCAGCACCTTGCCCAGGCAGCCCTCGGCCTCCTCAGGCTCGCCCACCTCCATGGGCGACGGCCCCTTGTGCTGCTCCAGGTCTGCACGCTTCCTCGCGCGCACAGCCTCGGCCACCTCCTCCAGCTGGTCACGCCGCTTCTGGAGGACGTCCGCCTGCTCCGCCACGCGGACCGCGACGGCCTCCTGCTCCTCCTGGACGGCCACCAGCGCTGCCTCGGCACGGCTGACCTGGCCCTTGATCTTCGCCTCCCTGGCCAGGAGGGCCTGGAGCGACAGCTCGGCCAAGGGCTTCGCTGGCGGCGGCGCGTCCACCACAGGCACCAGGGCCCCGAAGTCCTGGACCAGGGCCGCCGACCAGCCTTTCCTTTGGCCAAAGTGGCGGAGGAGGTCCTGGCGAACCTCCTCGTCCTTGCCACTGCTGCCGCTGGGCCGCTCCTCTGCCTCCCGCTTGGCCGCGCCCTGCGCCCACGGCGCCGGCGTGGCCGCGGCGGCGGCAGGCCCAGGCACGTCCGAGGCGAAGCGCACGCGCTTCGCCACGACCTTTCCTTCCCCTTGGCCTTGGCCTTCGCCTTGGCCTTGTTGATGGCCTCGCCGATCGTGCCAGCGCCACGTGGCGGCCTCGCCGCCTTGCAGAGTCTGCACTCCGTGCGCCATGCCATGTTGGCGTAGCCCGCAGCACACGAGCGGCACGTCCAGGGGTCGCCACCCTGGCTGGCACCGCGCGTGCCACCTGCAACTCCATTCGCCATCGGCCCGCGGGGGCACGCCGCTCTGAAGATTGCACCCGCAAGAGCGAGCACCTGGCTCGCCCCAGAACGGCTTGGAGGAGGAGGAGGAGGAGGAGGAGGAGGAGGAGGAGGAGGAGGAGGAGGAGGAGGAGGAGGAGGAGGAGGAGGAGGAGGAGGAGGAGGAGGAGGAGGAGGAGGAGGAGGAGGAGAGGAGGAGGAGGAGGCGGAGGAGGAGGAGGAGGAGGAGGAGGAGGAGGAGGAGGAGGAGGAGGGAGGAGGAGGAGGAGGAGGGCGGAGGAGGAGGAGGAGGAGGAGGAGGAGGCGGAGGAGGAGGAGGAGGAGGAGGAGGAGGGGAGGAGGAGGAGGAGGAGGAGAGGAGGAGGAGGAGGAGGAGGAGGAGGAGGAGGAGGAGGAGGAGGAGGAGGAGGAGGAGGAGGAGGAGGAGGAGGAGGAGGAGGAGGAGGAGGAGGAGGAGGAGGAGGAGGAGGAGGAGGAGGAGGAGGAGGAGGAGGAGGAGGAGGAGGAGGAGGAGGGGAGGAGGAGGAGAGGAGGAGGAGGAGGAGGAGGAGGAGGAGGAGGAGGAGGAGGAGGAGGAGGAAGCGGAGGAGGAGGAGGAGGAGGAGGAGGAGGAGGAGGAGGAGGAATGACGAGGCAGCGTAGGTGGAGCAATAGGAGCAGCAACAACAGCGGAAATCCTACCAGCCCTCTGGGCGCAGGTGGTCTAGGGCGTTTCCTTTTCCAACCTCCTTCCTTTCCCTGTTCGAGAGGTTTACCCCCCCCCCCCCCCCCTCCCTGCGTCTGGACGGGCTCCCCCGTGATGTGGCAGAGGGTCCTTTTCGGCCTCAGATGGCTCCAAAAGGGCTTCAGAGAGCGCAAGATGGCCTCCAAGATGGCCCAATATGGCGGTAGATGGCTCAAGACAGCCTCCGACACGCATCCAAGAGGCCTCACGACGGCCCCAAGACGGTTTCAAGTGCCCTCCGAGGACTCCCCCAACAGGCCAACATCCTTCAACAAACTACAGAAACTATGTGTTTTTTGCCTTCTCGCTTTTTCGCCTCCGATGGGCTCTTGAGGCCTCAGGATGGCCCCAAGACGGCCCAAGATAGCCCCAAGAGGGGTCCAAAAGGGCCCCAAGGCGGCCCCAAGAGCGGCCAAGAGCGCCCCAAGAGCGGCCCAAGATCGCCCCAAAACGGCATTTTCGAGCCTCCGAGGAGGCGATCCGAATTTAATCATCCCTTCTTTTTTAGCGAAATGGTCCAAGACGGCCCCGAGAGGCCCCTCAGGTATCCGAGAAGAGGCCCAAGAAGCCCCCCAGATCCCCCAAAAGAGTCTCAAGAGGGCCCCACGACGCCCCAAAAGAGCCCCAAGAGGGCTCCAAGACGGCCCTAAGAGGACCTCAAGGGAGCCCCAAGAAAGAGCTCCAGGAGAGCCCCAAGAGGGCTCCAAGAGAACCCCAAGAGAGCCCCAAGATGGCTCCAAGTTTCGAAACGCACGCGAGTTTAAGATACACATCAGTGCAACAGCCATTACGAGTCATCGAAACACCCCTCACCCCTCATCGAAGCACCATCGTAGCTTGCACTAATTACCATGTTAAACTTCAATGCGGGAAGCTCTTTGTGATCCTTGTTTTCCCGAAGACGGCTGCGCAACTGCATGCGTCCTGCCGCACATGATTCACCGACTCCCCTGCTGATCGTTTCTGGATGGGCTGGTGAGCGTCAAGAATTTCTGCTGGTGCTGCTGATGCGTCCAATGCCGCAAGTCCCTTTTGATCATCTCTTTTGCGCGAAAGGTAGACGGACAGGGGACTCTGCCAAACATGACGAAATTCAACCAGAGAGACTGAGACGCGTGTGTCTACACATGGAAAGGCGCTGCCGAGAAAACCTCGAAACGCATGTCTTTCTCCTCTCCTCCCTGCTCGACCTCATCCGCTATCTGCATGGCTCTTCTACCCTCACCATCTTACTCCTCATCCTAGTTTGCCTTTTCCTGATCCTGTCTTTCTCCATCCGCAAAGCGCAGAAGAGAGTGTCCCAGCATGTACTGCCGCCTCGCCAGGATGCGCCGGTACACTTCCTGACCGCCCTCTTGGGATTCGTCATCCCTGTCGCCATCGTCGTCGTCGTCGTCGTCGTCGTCGTCGTCGTCGTCGTTGTCGGCTTCGTCGAACTTCTCGTCGGCGAAATCTTCGTCGCAGTCGTCACTGTTGTCATCGTCGTCCGCCCCCCATCGGGCTGCTCCGATCGACGCCCGCCCCCCCCCAGCGCCACCTCTCAACTTAAGGGGGGGGGGGCGGGCAGGAGCGGGGGGCGGCGTCGGCGCGCCACGAGGGCTGCCGAAGGCGGCTCGGAGCAGGGCGGGGAGGCCGCGGCGGTCCGGGGCCTCGGCACCCCAGGAGAGAGCGGGGGGGGGAGGAGCAGCAGGAGGAGCAGGGCAGGCTCGGCACCTCACGCGAGAGGAGGGCCCACGAGAGAGGAGGAGCGGGAGGAGGAGCAGGAGGAGCAGGGAGGGTTCGGCACCTCACGCGAGAGGAGGGGGGGGAGGAGGAGGCTGCGGAGCAGGAGATCGCTGCGGCGGCCCAGATCTGATCGGTGTCCTGCGGGCGCAGAGAGTGAGCAAAAAGGGGAAGGAGCTTGGCCGCCACGGTGCGCAATGCGCGAACCGTAGCGTGTTGACACGGAGCTTAACAGGTAGACTGAAAACGTAGGTCTGGTGCGATACGTTCGCCAACACGTGGGCCATCGCGAGCCGAGCCAACACGCAACGTGTTAACACGGACGTTCTGGGCGTGGTACGTGTTGCGTTTCAAAGTGGGCGTATCGGGGCAGCTGTGGGAAGGATGCCCGCCTCGGAGTACTGGCACACAGCGAAGAACACTGCCACCCCCTGGCATCGCGCGTGGCCAGCCTGCGCCCGAGGGGACGTGGGAATCGATGTTCAGGGGTCGGTGGCCGAGTAGACAGCGGATGGGCAGCTCTCCTCCCCCCCTCCTCCTCCTCCTCCTCCTCCTCCTCCTCCTCCTCCTCCTCCTCCTCCTCCTCCTCCTCCTCCTCTCCTTGTCCTCGTCCTAGTCCTTCTCCTCCTCCTCTTCCTCCTCCTCTCCTTCTCCTCCTCCTGCTCCTCCTCCTCCTCCTCCTCATCTCTCCTCCTCTCCCCCCTCCTCCTCCTCCTCCTCCTCCTCCTCCTCGTTCTCCTCCTCCTCCTCCTCCTCCTCCTCCTTTTCCGCTTCTCCCTCCTCCATCCTCCTTGTCACTCCATCCTCCTTCTTCTAGTCTCCCTCCTCCATCACTAGGATACTGCCCTGCTGGCGTGCGTAGTTCCAGGAGGTAGCTGGCCCGAGGCTCGGCTTCAGGATGCGGGGTACCTCACCAACGGCATGTGCCCTAGGTGTGGGGTTGCTCGGGAAACTCGCCTCCACCGTGCATGGTGGTGTTCGGCTAACCCCCATATCAACTCCGACCATACTCATCGATCCTGGCATCTGCTTGAGATGGCCGATCGCCCCCAGCATGAAAAGAAGGAATGCCTTTCGGAATCGTGGACCTACTCCTCTTTCTGCTGCTGTCGCATCCCTGCCGCCTCCCCGCGATGTTCGTCAATCCGGGGCCTGTTCGACGGGAGCCGGCGCGTGAAAGAGGGCCGCTACGGCCTCGACGGTTCTGGGGGAGAAGTGGAGCCATGGTGGGAGGCTCGGACGGTGCGTATGGACGGTGGTCCGTTTGGATGAAGCTGGTGTGCAGGGTGAGCTGCAATGTGTCGCCATCCTCTTGGGTATCCTGCCGACGGAGTCCCAATCTAGTATCAGGGCCGTTGTTGACGTTCACCGAAGGATATGTTGTTGCGTATGCTGATTATCTGCCGCTGGGCCTCAAGAGGGATAGGTCCTACATCGCGCGGCACTCCCCCTGGCCCTCAGCTCAGGATCTGAAATTTCATGGACTCGCGCGAGAGGTTCGTTTGGAACTTCTGTGGACCAAATGATCATTCGGCGGCGATTTCGCGTGACCTGTGGTGTATCTCAGAGCCCAGTTTTTGTCGGAAGTGCAGTGCGAACTTCTTCGCTGGGAAGGCCGCTGCCACTGCTGAGATTTCTCAGGAGCACGTTGAAGTGCTCAAGGAAGTGGATGATCGGCGGGGAGCGAGGGGGGGAGATGGGAAGGAGAAGACCTTCTCAGAAGGCGGCGGGACTTCCCAGAAACCGTAGCGCCTTCTGACATATTTTCTGTGTCTTCGGGGAAGGTTTAGAAACACTTCTCTGAAGGTTACGGGACTTCCAAGCCTTCTGAGAAGGCCCGCCCCTTCTCACTTCCCCCAGGGCTCGCCGCCGAGATGAGATGATCGCGAAAGTCCCCCGTCGGTTCCTCGAGGTTAAGCGTGCAGTTTCCTGAACCTGTAGGAGCTGGGTGCAAGCCAGGGTGGGGTGGCCCCCTCCTCGCCCCAAGGCCCTGCACTTTCAAGTCGCTAGGAAGCACAACGGCTTCAAGCCGTGGGCCATTCTGTCAAGATGTGAAGCTTCAAATTTAAGTGCATGCTGTGCCGTCGCCACGTTGAGGCGACTCGTGGCGATGTTTCCGGGTTCTTCCCTGGTCAGTGCTTGGGGGCGCGAGAGATAAGACGGGCAGGCCTAGATTTGTAATCGCTCACCCTGGGGCCCCTCGTGCGCACTCCTCTCACGACCTTGACGTTTTGCGTGGCGTCCTGTAATGTCGAGTCTGCGGGCGAATCATGGCCCAGAACTCCCAGCTCCTTGGCGAGGCTTGCCCACGAGGGGGTGAACACACGAAGGCAGGCGCCAACGTTTTGTCTCGCCTCCGCAGAGGCGTGCAGAGGCCCCCCGCCAACGTGTGCCATGCCGCTTCCTGCACGACGATGGCGTTGCGGCTGCCGGCGCTGAGGCCCTCTTCCCGCCAACTGGCCATCGCTCGGACGTCCATTTCCTGTGTTGTTTTCGGTTTCGTGCGTGGTTTTTTCGCCAAATCATCAAGGATGCTCCTCGATGGTGCTCGCCGACGGAAAAATGCACACGTCCGAGCGATGCAAAGGCAGAGGCCTCCCGCCAAAATGTGCCATGCCGTTTCCTGCACGACGATGGCGCTACGGCTGCCTGCGCTGAGGCCCTCTTCCCGCCAGTGCCTGCGGGCCTGGCCTGGCACGGTCTGCGCACGTCTGGCTGCTTGACGCGCCGCTCGGCTTGCCACATCAGCCAATCGACTCTCACATATGATGCACGGCATTTTTTTATTGAAACAACCAGGCACGCGGGCTTTGGCGGCCCTGCGAGCCATTCAGGATGGCCTTGGTCGCCTGCTCTGCAAAGCTTGTACCTGCTGTGAGAACGAATCCCACCAGCCCTCTGGGCGCAGGTGGTCTAGAGCGTTTCCTTTTCTATCTTCCTGTCTTTCCTGCTCGGGAGGTTTACCCCCCCTCCCTGGGTCTGGACGGGCTCCCCCGCGAGGGGTTAGAGCATCCAAGATGGCCGTAGATAGCTTCAAGAGGGCTTTAGCTAGCCCAAGATGGCCTCCAAGATCGTCCACGATACCTCAAGACGTCTCAAGATAGCCTCCAACATGCATCGCACAGGCCTCAAGACGGCCCCAAGACGGTTTCAAGTGCCCTCCGAGTCCTCCAAGGATTCCCCCTAAGAGGCCAAACAGGGTTCAAAACACAACATAGCCCCAAGAGAGGCCCGAAAGGGCCCCAAGACGGCCCCAAGAGCGCCCAAGAGCGCCCCAAGAGCGGTCCACGAGGGCTTCAAGACGCTCCTTTTGTGCCTCCGAGGGGGGGGGCGTAAATTTACCACCCCCCTTTTTTGAAACGAAGGGGTCCAAGACGGCCCCAAGAGGCCTCCCAGACCCCCCAAAAGAGCCCCAAGAGGGCTCCAAAGACCCTGCAATGACCCTGCAAAGACCCAGCAATGACCCTGCAAACACCCTGCAATATCCAACCTCCTTCCTCCCCTGCTTGGGAGGTTTATCTCCTCCCCCTCCCTCGGCGTGACTCATAGCAGCGTCCAAGATGGTCCAAGACGGCTCCAAGAGGGCCTTAGGAAGCCACAGATGGCCTCCTCCTCCTCATTTTCTGTTTGTATTCCTCCTCCTCCTTCTCCTCTTTCTCCTCCTACCCCCAAGATGGTCCCAGCAGCAGCACCACCAGCAGCAGGAGTACCACAAGCAGCAACACCAGCACCAGCAACAGCAACAACAGCATCAACAGCAACAACACTATCAGCAGCAGCAGCACCGGCAGCAGCACCAGCACCGGGTAAATTTCGAAACGCACGCGAGTTTAATATAGAAATCGGTGCAAGGGATAAGATCAAGGGTGCCCATCGAGATGCGACTCTAATCTGCGCAACAGTGGTGTCGGATCGTAGATACAACAAGCCTGCGCCAGAGACGCTTACTACAGGGAACACCATGGCGCATCTTGCACTCGTTTCTGTCTTAAACTTCACTGCGCGGAGCTATTTGAGGTCATTGTTTTCTGGCCCAGGGTACTGCCCACCCAATTTTGACGCTTCCAAAACGGCTGTGCGACCGCGTGCTTCCAGGCGTCCCTGATTAACCGACTCACCTGGTAATCGTTTCTAGATGGGCTGGTGGGGATGTTTTTTTGGTCAGCGGCTCCGAGGCAACGGACAGGGAGCGGAAGCGGCGTCCGGGTCACGGTACGGGGCTAATTTGCGAGACAATTCGCCGCCAGCCAGAATCGGCGGACAACGCTCGCACCTGCAAGACAGGCTCGCAGTTGCACGTGCACAGAACAAAATGAACTAAATTCCCAAGGCGAACGCACTTAGGCACCGCAGCCCGAACCAGGCCGCCGTGTTGAAAGTGCGGATGCAACGAAATGAGTCGCCAGGGCGGCGCCAGACTCCGTGGCCGACCTGCACAAGCCGAACGGCTGCGCGGCCGGAACCAGAAACAGTGCGCGACAGGGGGAAAACCAAAGGCTGTACAGGCGTTGCAGGCTGAACCACTCAGCGCCCAGTCCTCAATAATCCGCCTCCCAGTGCCGAGGGGAGCCACGCGGCTGTGCCCAAGGCGCGACTGCGGTGAAGATCCCTGAAGCGAAGA